TCTACCACCTGCTTACAATTTTGGGTGGCAAACCATCAGGCCCTGTTGGGCAGATATAACTTTAACCTCTGGGATGGTCTCAAAAAGTTTCAGGTCTCAAAAAGTTCCCGCAAGGTCTAGCCCAAGAGTTCGGCACCCTAGTGGAGGAGGGTACCACGGCGGCCAGATGCTCCCTGTAGATGGCATGGCATGCAGCGGACTCGGCGGCTTGGGTGGTCACATTGGCGGTTGTTATGTGGTGCCAAACGGCAGGCTTCTCCCAGAAGATTCAGACTTCAATTCAAGACCTCCCCTTCGACGGGGTTGGTCTTTTCTCTGAGCAGATGGACACCAGGCTGCGCGGGTTGAAGGACACTAGAGCTACCCTTCGCTCGTTGGGCATGCACACGCCACAGTCTGCCGACAGGACTGGCAACCCCATCATGGCTCTGCATTAAGAAGGGATGCTAGTTTTAGTCATGGATGCCCTTCTTCCTCCCACTCAGCTGTGCAACCTGAACCCGCCAAACATCTAGTGGGCCAAAAATGCTCATTTTGAGGGTGCGCCCGAGAGCAAAGCCCCAGACAGCCATCCGGATCCTTCCCGCCTTTTCCTTAACCAGCTCTCTCCCTACCGTTCAACCTGGTCGCAGGTTACATTGGACTGCTGGGTCCTGGACATAATAGCTCGGGGTTATACCCTGCAATTTTTCACTGCCCCTCACTCCCACTTCCCTGTCCCTTCTCAGGGACCCTTTTCATGAGCAACTCCTCATTCAGGAGGTCGAAAAACTCATGGACTTGGGGGCTGTGCAGAAGGTTCCTTGGGACATGTAAGGAAGAGGATTCTACTCCCACCTCTTCCTAATCCTGAAGGCCAAAGGGGGCCTAAGACCCATCCTGGACCTGCATCGCCTCAACACATCTCTCAAGAAGTTGAAATTTCGCTTGGTCTCTCTGGCCTCCATCATCCCTTCCCTGGGTCTGGGAAACTGGTATGTCACTCTCAACTTCAAGGATGCTTACTTTCATGTCTACATATTCCTGGGACACAGGAGTTTCCTGCGTTTCATGGTGGCTGGGCGCCACTTCCAGTTCACAGCGCTTCCCTTTAGCCTGTCCTAGGGTCCCAGAGTGTTCACAAAATGCATGATGCCAGTGGCAGCTTACCCGACACGTCAAGGGATCCAGATCTTCCCATATCTCAATGACTGGCTCATCAAGGGCAGGTCTCCGGGGCAGGTGCAAAGGAGCCTTGATCTGGTGCACTCCACCTGCAGTGACCTGGGCCTGCTAATAAACACAGATAAGTCCACGTTGACTCCAGTCCAACGCATAGAATTTATTAGAGCGGTTCTCGACAACTCGCGGACCAGGGCCTGCTTTCCGGAGGTGCATTTTTGGGCCATATTGGACCTGATTTCCCACGTAAAGAGCTACCTGCTCACCATGGCCCACACGTGCCTGCGACTGATGGGCCACATGGCCGCGTGCACGTACATGGTCAGACTTAATCTGCGGCCTCTGCGAGCATGGCTGGCCTCGGTCTATATCCCCAGCAGGCACGCCCTGGACCGAGTCGTCACGGTGCTGAGCCACCTCCTCTCGTCCCTGGACTGGGGGCTGGATCCCAAGTTGGTGCTGCAAGGAGTTCCCTTCATGACCCCATCTCCGCCGCTCACCCTGGTCTTGGACATGCAGGTCCTGACAGACAATACCGCCGCAATGTATTACATCAACAGACAGGGCAGTGCCAGGTCTTCAGCCCTTTGTTGGGAGGTGCTCAGCCTCTGGGACTTTTGTGTGCAGCATGCCATTGATCTGGTAGCCGCCCACCTGCCTGGAACCAAGAACGTCCTGGCAGATCACCTCAGCAGGACCTTCTCATCTCACCATGAATGGTCACTCCATCCGGAGGTGGACAACCTAATCCCCCATAGGTTGGGGACGCCACAGGTAGACCTGTTTGCATCTAGGCAGAACAGAAAGTGCCACATGTTCTGTTCTCTGCAGGGAAGGGATAAAGTCTCCCTGTGAGACTCCTTCTTGATTCAGTGGTCGGGAGCGCTGATATATGCCTTTGCGCCGGTGCCTTTAATCCACAAGGTCCTGCTAAAGATGATGCAAAACAAAGCAAATGTCATCCTCATAGCCTCCGCATGGCCTCGCCATGGTTTGGCAGGCTGTTGAGTCTTTCAGTGGCCACCCCGCTGCAGCTGCCTCTTTGGCCGGATCTGCTGTTCCTGAACTACGGCAATCTGCTGCATCTGTATCTGGCGATGCTGCACCTGACAGCTTGGCTTCTGCATGGCTAAGTATGGACGAATGGCAGTGCTCCGATGGTGTCCAGCAGGTCCTGCTGGGCAGCAGGAAACCCTCCACCATGGCTACCTATGTGGCAAAGTGGAAGCGGTTCACGCGTTGGGCCTCTGACACATTTGCGCTGAAGAGGCCCCACTGCAGCACATCCTGGACCTTTGCTGCACCTTAAGCTCCTGGGCCCGTTGCTGTCTTTCTTCAGGGTACACCTGGCAGCCATTTTGTCGTTCCACACTCCGTTTCAAGGCAGGACCTGGGGATTACAGTGGATGAGAAACTGGATATGAGTCAGCAGTGTGCCCTTGTTGCCAAGAAGGCTAACGGCATATTGGGCTTCATTAGTAGGAGCATTGCCAGCAGATCAAGGGAACTAATTATTCCCCTCTATTCGGCACTGGTGAGGCCACATCTGGAGTATTGCGTCCAGTTTTGGGCACCCCACTACAGAAAGGATGTGGACAAATTGGAGAGAATCCAGCAGAGGGCAATGAAAATGATTAGGGGGCTGGGACACATGACTTACGAGAAGAGGCTGAGGGAATTAGGATTGTTTAGTCTGCAGAAGAGAAGAGTGAGGGGGGATTTGATAGCAGCCTTTAACTACCTGAATGGGGGGGTTCCAAAGAGGATGGAGCTCGGCTGTTCTCAGTGGTGGCAGATGACAGAACAAGGAGCAATGATCTCTAGTTGCAGTGAGGGAGGTCTATGTTGAACTACAAGGGTGGTGAAGCACTGAAATGGGTTACCTACGGAGGTGGTGGAATGTCCATCCTTAGAAGTTTTTAAGGCCCGGCTTGACAAAGCCCTGGCTGGGATGATTTAGTTGATGTTGGACTAGATGACCTAAAGTCTCTTCCAACCCTAAAAAAAAAAAAAAAGACTGTCTTCACCCATTCCATGATGGCGCACGGTTCTTGAAAGATCTGGAGTATCTCTACCCTCATGTCTGGGACCTGGTCTCCCCTTGGGACCTGAATCTTCTGCTGTCAAGGCTCATGGGTTCCCGCTTTGAACCCTTTGCTTCCTGCTCCCTCCTGCTTCTCTCCTGGAAGGTCTCCTTCTTGGTCGCTATATCTTTGGCCCATAGGGTTTCCGACATCGGGACACTCACATCGGAGCCGCCTTATATGGTCTTCTATAAGGACAAGATCCAGCTGCATCTGCACCCGGCTTCTCTGCCCAAGCTCGTCTCCCAGTTTCATACTGGTCAAGATATATATTTACTGGTCTTTTGTCCAAAGCCTCATGTGATGGATGAGGCATGCAGGCTGCATACCCTGGATGTCAGACGGGTGCTGGCCTTCTACATAGATAGAATGAAGCTGTTCTGAATGTCAACGCAGTAGTTCATTGCTGTCGCAGACAGGATGAAGGGTTGCCCAGTGTCCGCCCAGAGAATCTTGTCTTGGATCACGGCCTGCATCCACTACTCTTATGAACTGGCGAAGGTGCCCCTGCCAACTATACTGATGGCTCACTCCACTAGGGTGCAGGCATCATCATCAGCCTTCCTGGTGCAGGTGCCGATCCAAGAAATCTGTCTGGCTGCAACCTGGTGAGATAATGCAATGTTTATTAGGGTTAGTTTCCAAGCAAGCATTTTCCGAAGCTCTTCACACCAGTCGGGCTTATCTCTATACGCCGATAGTCTGTTCCCTTCTCAGCTCTGACACCGCAGAACCTTGCCTGTGTCCCTATTCCCGTTCCCTCCCTTAACAAACATGATTCCAATTTCCCTTCCCCCCGCTTAACACCAGTTTATATAATAATATTCTCAGCTATACCTTAACCAATCATTTTACTGACATTTACCTAACCAATCCTAACATGTAACATAATTCCCTAACCAATTATATCCCACTACCCTAATTAACTTACACCTAGCAAAATTAATTATACATCAGACAGAAACAATTAGAGAATCAGACAGGTTAACAATAGAAAAGTGGGGGACATAAAGATAAAACAATACAGAAATGAGGGTTTCACAACCACAACCATTGATAAGTGATTTCTTGCCAGGCAGGATGCTATCAAACTAAGTTTTCTTTAACCATCTTAAGATCTGTTTCTTTATCTGGTGGTGATGGGCACTATCAGGACAGGATCATCTTTCTAACAGCCCAATACCACCTTATTTCAGTGTAACTGGTTTGGGATGTGACCGTTCGCTTCCCGGCTTATGGCTGCCCCTGCAGCTTAGCCAAAGGCCTTAGCCTAAGAACAAGGCCTCAGACTATCCTAGTGAGAGGAGGCCCATACACAGGCGGACTGTGATTTAGATTCTTTGTTTTTATACCCCTGTAACTAGCTAAGTGATAAAAATACACATAAGTTCTTAAAGTATAGGCTTTACAGGCAGGCCTGAATATCTATATTCTAACAGTGGGTTCTACCCCTTCCCCCATTTTGTGTCTGTCTTTTCTATTTAGATTGTAAATTCTTCAGGGCATGGGTCATCTACTATTCTCTGTTTGTACTTTGCCTAGCACAATGGGGACCCACTCTTAGTTGGTCCTTAAGCACTAAGGTAATGAATATGATTTATAATAATAATAACTCTCATGCCACTTTGAGCCAAGGAAGCTGGCCTTGGGATGTTACTGCTTAAAAATGAGCTGGGGTTAAAACCATGGAATATTCTTTGTGACAAGTATCCCACAAATTCCACTGACCTCCCTTCTTTTCTTTGCCTTGAGTAGGGTTTCCAGTTTCCAAACCTGATGTGATGTCGCATCTGGAACGAGGGGAAGAGCCGTGGGTCCCAAACCTCCAGGGCTCTGAGAAAGAAGTGCTCCCGAGAGCTGCCTGCACAGGTGAGAAATTGATTAAACCAACTCAAAAACTGTCTGTGAATACAGGAAACATTTGGGATGCCTTACAAAGACCTTGTGAGTTCTCCAAGTTCAGGATTGTTCCCTGCAGATGTCACTCATGGCTTCCCACCTATTCTTCTTCGAGTGCTTGCTCATGTGTATTCCACAGTAGGTGTGCGTGCTCGCCACGAGCACTGGTGCCGGAAGTTTTCCCCTCAGCAATACCCGTAGGGAGAGCACTGCTGCAACCCCTGGAGTGGCGCCTCTATAACGTGCTATAAGGGGAGCCGCGCGCTCCCCTCACCCTCAGTTCCTTCTTGCCGCCAGTGATGGTGCATCGGAACTACTTGCTCCAGCTTTGCTGCAGCTCGTCCCAGAACTCGTTTCGTTGTTAGTTGTACCTGTGTTAGTTCAATAAAGTTTTCAGCTTAGTTAATTAGTTAGTGTTTGGGCCGGAGCATGCTCTGGGCCCCAGGGTTTAAATCATGAGAGTCTTGCAGGCATTCGATGCCTAGAAGTGACTCGCACGCCAACTGTCTCTGCTGCTTAGGCGAATCTCACATCAGTGACCGCTGTAAGATCTGCAGGTCCTTTAAACCCAGAACTAAAAAAGAGAGAGACATTAGACTCCGGGCCCTTCTCATGGAGTTGGCGCTGGCCCTAACCCCGGTGCGCTGAGCAGAATCTGCACCGGGCACTTCATCTTCAGTGTGCAGCGATCTCCCGGCACCTTCCGGTGGCCGGCACCACTCCCCGTCCAAGAAGCAGAGAAAGGCCCCGTCCTCTCAGAGGCGTCGAGAGAAAGCAAGGGGTGAGGCTAGACCCGCGTCGGGCAGCCCCAGTTCCCCCCTGGGCTCCAGAGCTCCAACTCAGGTTGAGCGGAGCAGCCCGGTTGCGTCGACTCAGGCCTCTCCAGACGTCCGCATGCCTTCGACACTGGAGGCCCTGCAGGCGGCCAAAGACATTATGACTCTGCAGGTGCCCGGGACACCGCTCTAGAGGCAAGCCGCCGCTGGGCTCTCATCAGTCGACACCAACCCGACGCAGATCCCGGTCGGGATCGCTCTTGGGCCCGCTCGCCAATCAGTGTCCTGTCAGGACACAGCCTCCAGCCTCCGCTTTCGTCGCCCAACAGATTGTCTGGTTGGGTGCTGTCGGAGCAGAGTTCCAGGCACTGCTCCACGCCGAGTACAGAGTATCGGCGGGACAGGGGCAGACGCCGTAGACGCTCCCATTCCCGGCGGAGCTACCGAAGCCGCTCCCGACCCGGGCACCGTCGCTGGTCACGCTCCAGCTCTCTCGTGCCCACAGCTTCTGGCGGGGATCGCCAGCTCCCCGTCGTCGCGGATCCAGGCGTTGAAGCATCTCGAGGGGTAGCTGCTCGAGGTGGCACTGTTCATCAACGTCGGAGTCCCGGTCCTGTGGCAGACGTCGCTCTCGGTACCACAGCTCGTACCGCTCCCACGGCACCTAGAGGTCATTGGTAACCCCGACCTCAACCTCCACGCGGCGCCCTACGACTCAGCCGGGCCAACCCGACCAGCTGGTGCCGCCGGTGCTGCACCAGAGTCAATGGCGAGGGCCCCCGTGGCAAGGCCAGTGGTGCCAGTGGACCCCCTGGCCCCCCGTACACGCCCAGCAAGGCCCTCGGTCAATAGCAGGGGCATCAGAGGCTCCTTCAGCCGCACTATCCAGACCTCCAATGGATAGATCGGCAGGTCATGGATCCTCGGCACCGCGGGGTGGATCCCGTGGCACCGGCCGACATGCAGAGCCCCGTACCGGCCCCCTCCCCCGCACCGGATGACAAAATTGCAGCCCCTCCCCCCTCCGCACCGCAGGAGGATTTCAGAGCTCATCAGGAGCTACTAAAGCGAGTAGCATCCAGTCTCCAACTCCAAGCTGAGGAGATGGAGGGACCCTCAGATTCACTGTTTAACGTGCTCTCGTCCTCGGTACGAGGTAGAGAGCCACCCCTTCGTGCAGCAGGAGGGCCAAACATCTCCAATGCCCTCTGGTGAATGCCGGCCTCCCTTGCGCCGATATCGAAAAAGGCAGAGCGCAAATACTTCGTACCCACGAAAGGGCATGAATACCTTTATACCCACCTGGCCCCCAACTCCCTAGTGGTGGAGTCCGTAAATCATAGGGAAAGACAGGGTCAACTGGGACCCACACCCAAAAATAAAGACTCTAAAAGACTGGACTTGTTTGGCAGGAAGCTTTATTCGTCTGCCAACTTCCAGCTCCGGGTGGCCAACCACCAGGCCCTCCTCAGTCGTTATGAGTTTAACTTGTGGGGGTCACTGCCGAAATTCGAGCCCTCCCTCCCTCCCAGAATGCGAAAGGAAGGATTTTAAGGTGCTGGTGGAGGAGGGCGCCGCCGCTACAAAGGCTGCTTTGCAGGCGGCGGCGGATGCAGCTGACACGGCTGCTCGGTCCATGGCCTCAGCCGTGTCCATGCGCAGGGCATCGTGGCTACTGATGTCTGTGCTCTCCGCGGAGGCGCAGTCTGTGATGCAGGATCTTCCCTTTGACGGCAAGGACCCGTTCGCAGAACAAACAGACGTGAGGCTCCATAGCATGAAGGACTCACGTACTACCCTACAAACCCTCGGGCTCTATGTCCTGCCCAAGGAAAAGCCTAAGACGCAAGCCTCCGTCCCTGCACCCTAGCCGAGATATGAGCCCACCTACGAGAGGTCCAAGACCCAAAAGAGGTGACCTCAGAGGCAGTCTCACTCTGCCCCACAGCCTGGGCCCTCCAGGGGCAAGCAGCAGGGCAAGAGGCATTTTTGACTGGTTGCAGGAGGGTACCCCGGTGACCCCCGAGAGAACCCTCTTACCAATAAAGTTTATCTTCAGCAACCGCTTGTGTGCATTCCTTACGGAATGGTCCCGAATAACATCGGACCGATGGGTCCTCAACACCATTTCCCAGGGTTACACGCTACAATTTGTCTCACCCTGGCCCTCCCACCCCCTTCCTCGGATGGCAAGGGGGATCCGTCGCATTTACCCCGCTACAGCAGGAAGTGGGTCGGCTCCTCAGCTTGGGAGCTGTGGAGAAGGTTCCGTGGGAGTTCCGGGGGAAAGGGTTTTACTCACGTTACTTCCTGATCCCCAAGGCGAAAGGGGGGCTCAGGCCCATCCTGGATCTGCGAGACCTCAATCGGTTCATGGCAAAATGCCGGCTCCGCGTGGTCTTTCTGGCATGTATCATACTCGCTCTGGACCCTGGTGATTGGTATGCAGCTCTGGACCTTCAGGACGCATACTTCCATATCCATATATTCGAGGGGCACAGACGCTTCCTCCATTTCCTAGTGGGACAGGACCACTACCAATTTACGGTCCTCCCGTTTGGCCTGTCCACCATGCCCAGGGTATTCACAAAGTGTATGGTGGTAGTGGCAGCCTACCTCAGATGCCGAGGGGTACAGATATTCCCCTACCTTGACGACTGGCTGCTCAAGGGCAGCTCGCGGTCCCAGGTACAGAACCACGTGGACCTGCTCTTGGCTACGTGTGCCAACCTAGTAAATGAGGCCAAGTCAACATTGGCTCCGGTGCAGCGCATAGAATTCATAGGCGCTCTCCTGGATGCCTCCAAGGCCACAGCCTTCCTTCCCCTGGACAGGTTCCAGACCCTGAAGGGGCTTATAGCCTCAGTCACAGAGTTCCCCGTCACCACGGCCAAGGCATGCGTGCAGCTCCTGGGCCACATGGCTGCGTGCATGTACATGGTCCGCCATGCCAGGCTTCGGATGAGGCCCCTCCAACTCTGGCTGGCCTCAGAGTTCTCCCAAGCCCGGGACAAACTGGACAAGGTCCTCTCGTACTGGCGCGGATGATCGCCACGCTACAATGGTGGTCTTGCCCGGCCAATATGCTCCAGGGAGTTCCCTTCCAGGACCCGACCCCATCACTAGACCTAGTGTCCGACGCATCGGACTTGAGCTGGGGGGCCCACATAGGGAACTCACAGACCCAAGGGATGTGGTCAGCCGCGGAGCTGTCCCTTCACATAAATGTCAGGAAACTTAGGGCGATACGCTTAGCCTGTATGGCGTTCAGCTCACTGCTGCACGGCAAGGTGGTCAGAGTACTCACGGACAACACTGCCATGATGTTTTACATCAACAGGCAAGGTGGGTTGAGGTCCTCGGCCCTCTGCCTGGAAGCCCTCAGCCTATGGGAGTTCTGTATAGCCCACGACATCTGCCTAAAGGCTTTCCACCTACCGGGCATCAACAACACACAGGCCGATCGCTTGAGCAGGGTTTTCTCCTCCCAACACGAGTGGTCGCTCACCAGCTCTTCCGAGTGTGGGGCACTCCCCAAGTAGACCTGTTTGCGACCCAACAGAACTGCCATTGCCACAGGTTCTGTTCCGGGGGAAGGGGGGGAGGAACGCGATCTCAGATGCCTTCCTCCTATCCTGGTCGGGTCAACTCCTCTACGCCTTTCCCCCCGTTTCCCCTCATTGGCAAGGTCCTGGAGAAAGTGAAAACAGACAAGGCGTGCGTCGTCCTGATCGCCCCAGCAACGTTGGTACAGGACCCTCCTGGGCTTGCTCGTGGCCCCTCCGCGTCCGTTGCCGCTCCACCCGGACCTACTCTCCCAGGACCAGGGCCGCCTCCTCCACCCCAATCTGTCCAACCTCCATTTGACAGCGTGGCTGATCAATGGCTAGATGCGGAGGAGAGAAGGTGTTCGGAAGGGGTCAGGCATATCCTCCTCGAAAGTAGAAAGCCATCCACGCGCCGAGCCTACCTGGTGAAGTGGTCCAGGTTCTCCAGGTGGGCGGGCGAGCGGGGTACTTCCCCAATGTCTGCCCCGCTCCAACTTATCCTCGAGTACCTTCTTCACCTTAGAACTCAAGGCCTGACCTCTTCCTCCATCAGGGTGCACCTGGCGGCTATTTCGGCCTTCCATCCGCTGGTCCAGGGCTGCTCGGTTTTCTCCCATGCCATGACCGGGCATTTCCTCAAAGGGTTAGACAGGTCCTTTCCTTATGCTAGAGCCCCATTCCTAAGTGGGATCTAAGTTTGGTGTTATCCCGCCTCACGGGGCCCCCGTTCGAACCCCTGGCCACATGCTCATGGTCTCACCTTTCATGGAAGGTAGCCTTCCTCGTGGCCATCACGTCAGCCCGGCAGGTCTCGGAGCTCAGGGCCCTGACCTGCGACCCCCCTTACACAGTCTTTCACAAGGACAAGGTTCAGCTCCGCCCACACCCAGCATTCCTCTCTAAGGTGGTCTCCGCTTTTCACATGGGCCTGGACAGCTTCCTGCCTATCCTCTGCCCCAAACCTCATGCCTCTAACGAGGAACGTCGCCTCCATACGCTCGATGTGCGCAGAGCACTGGCTTTTTATCTGGATCGGACTAAGCCATTCCACAGGTCTCAGCAACTCTTTGTTGCTTCAGCTGAGTGCATGAAGGGTCAACCGATCTCCACCCAGAGGCTTTCCTGGTGGGTTACATCGTGCATCCGCACATGCTACAGCCTAGCAGGGGTTCCCGCACCACCTATCGTAAGGGTTTATTCGACAAGGGCTCAGGCCTCGGCGGCAGCCTTTGTGGCCCATGTCCATATCCAGGACATCTGTAGAGCCGCTACCTGGTCCTCAGTGCACACGTTCACCTTGCGCTACGTGATTGTCTCCCACGCCAGGGATGATGCTGGTTTCAGTAGAGCTGTGCTTCAGCCAGAGAATCTGTGAACTCCTACCCACCTCCATCAGACATAGCTTGCAGTCATCTACATGAGCAAGCACTCGAAGAAGAAAGGACAGTTACCTGTTCCGTAACTGGCGTTCTTCGAGATGTGTTGCTCATGTCTATTCCACATCCCGCCCTCTTTCCCCTCTGTCGGAGTTGGTCCGGCAAGAAGGAACTGAGGGTGGGGGGAGCGCACGGCTCCCCTTATAGCGTGCTATAGAGGCACCACTCCAGGGGTCGCAGCAGCGTTCCCCCTACGGGTACTGCTGAGGGAAAAACTTCTGGCACCGGTGCACGTGGCGAGCACGCACACCTACTGTGGAATAGACATGAGCAACACATCTCGAATGCCAGTTACGGAACAGGTAACTGTCCTTTCTGACTGACAACTGGCAGCATGTCCCTCCCCGATCTCGCTTTCCCCTGAGTGTCCTGGTGAGATGCGGACCAAAACTGATCCCTTCCTCTATCCTCTGGGGAAGGGTTTGGAGAAAATCTGCTCCTGATACATTTGATCTCTCTCACACATATTTTGGTTTGTTCATCCCTTTTACCATTCCTGTCTCTGAGATTTCCTTTCTCTCCGGCACAGGGAGTGACCTACATCTGGATTCTCTCTGTCACCCATCAGGTGTTGGGATGGTGAGTGAGAATGAGGAAGAGAAACCCCGGCAGGAGGATGCTGAGCAAGTAGAACCACATGGGACGTTATCAGGAAGATCCAAAGGGAATGTTTCCGGGAGTTGTGCACTCCCAGGAAAAGCAAAAGCCTGTGAGACTCAGCAGAGGCCAGAGGAAAACTTGAGTAGCCACACAGACCTTATTACACGTGAGAGAATCAACTTGGAAGAGACACGCTACACATGCCATGAGTGTGGGAAAAGCTTCAGTCGGAGCTCAGCCCTTATCACACATTGTAGAATCCACACAGGAGAGAAACCCTACACGTGCTCTGAGTGCGGGAAACGCTTCAGTTGGAGCTCAAACCTTTTCAAACATCAGAGAATTCACACGGGTGAGAAACCTTATGGATGCTCTGAGTGTGGGAAACGCTTCACTGATAGTTCAACCCTCATCTCACATCAGCGACTCCACATAGGAGCGACGCCCTACACGTGCTCCGAGTGTGGGAAAACCTTCAATCAGCGCTCAAACCTTAATAGACATCAGAAAATCCACACAGGAGAGACACCCTACACATGCTCTGAGTGCGGGAAAAGCTTCCATTATAGCTCAAACCTTATCACACATCAGAGAATCCATACAGGAGAGACACCCTACACATGCTCTGAATGTGGGAAAAGGTTCAATCGGAACTCAAACCTTATCACACATTGTAGAATCCACACAGGAGAGACGCCCTACACATGCTCTGAGTGTGGGAAAAGCTTTAATCAGCATTCACACCTTATCAGACATTGTGGAATCCACAGAGGAGAGATGCCCTACACGTGCTCTGAGTGTGGGAAATGCTTCAGTCGGAGCTCACACCTTATCACACATCGGAGAATCCATACAGGAGAGATGCCCTACACATGCTCTGAATGTGGGAAAAGCTTCAATCACAGCTCAAACCTTATCAGGCATCAGAAAATCCATATGAGAGAGAACTGTAATAAATGCCTTGACTAGGGCTGGCCAAAGACTTCTTTTTTTTTATTAAATCACATTTGCTAATTTGCACATAGTGATCTTTGCACCATCTTCACCGTAGTCTCTCAGCTCCCCCAGATGAGTTGCCTGCTTCTGCCTTTTGCAGCTCACCCTTCTTTGGGGTCAGTCCTGTGATCATTTCTATCAACTCCTTTCCTTTTGAGTCATAGGAGTGTGTGTCCCTCCAGCCAGGAATGTTGAAGGAGAGGTTTGATGCCAACAAGCTACACTGAGGCAAAAACTACCTGTGCCTTACATCCACTAGGACTGTACATGTCGTTCGCTGCTTAAGTTAGTGATCTTGGTGTAAAAAGACAATTATAGTTGTAGTGCAGATGCAGCCCAGGTGCAGTGGTTGGCATTAGCTTTCCCCTTGACCTGACCTAAATGCCATCACTTTTCCTAGTCTAAACAAAACCTGAGCATCACAGTTATACTGTTCCCCCATTTCAAAGCAATTGTTAATCATCAAGTTCTCCCTTCGGGAACAAATTGTTTCATTCCCAGTTGCTCTGATGTTGCTTCAGGTTGTGCTGGAGAGCAGATATTTTTACTACCATTTTCCTCACTTAAAATATATTGAACTATAACAAATGGCAGGGATAGGGGAAAATGTTATTTCGCCTCTGTAACAACAGAAGAAGACAGGGTAAGGCAGAGGGATTCCATTATTCCCCATCACCATCCCAATCCCCCTGTTGTTCAATTGGTTAGGTCAATATTTTTTCTGAAGGGCTGAGAAGAGGATTCCCTAGGTCTTGGTAGTCCATCGATCCGATGATGACAAATCTGTGCAAATCATCAGTTGTTGGTCACTTGTAACTAAGCAAAATACCCATGCATTGGTCTCCCAAAGCAGTTGTGGCCCAAGCCCTGCAGGAGGTCGCTCCTGAAGATATCTCCTTCCTAATCAGGTGCGTGTTGCCTATTATTTGGGAAATGCAATCTCTAGCTAGGTAGGGATGGGAAAAATGGAAGTGACATTGCTGTTCAACTCACCCCTGGGAGATGCTGCTGCAAATGTGTAGAAAATGAAATCTGTGTTGAATGTGATATAGCTGCAGAAAGAAACCTATTTTTAATAGATACCTGACATTTGGCTTCTTAGAGGGATTCTAAAACGCACCTGAATTTAGTCCCTAATTTAAACCTGTGCCACTAGATTAAAGATATAAAAGGGCATATTTGGGAGAGTTATACCTCATTATCACTACTGATATGTTGGGTGGTTAGGGAAGAATTCTATGCCAGAGAATTGTAAAATTACTCCAAGTAGGGTCAAAGATTTGACAAGACCTCAGGTAGACCTTGCAGATACTAGTGGTTGATTTTCACCTCAGAGATGGACGCTATGGTGACCTGTGGCCCAGGTAAACTATTTTTAGAACGCTGCTCCCTAGTTAAGTGGCAGTGATCACGCTCCTAAAGGACGCCATGATTAAATTGGATCCAAATGGTAAAAGACAGTTGTTCCCAAAATTTGATGAATCAGAGAGAGACAGCTGGTTCCATGCGTATGGGTCCCAATCTGGCTGCCTTGTTGGACAAGAAGCACTTCCATGCTGGGCAAATGATGGTGCCAATGGGGGAGTATATCAGATTCCAAATTCAGACTGCAGGATATATGAACGCTGAGTCCAGAGTCTGTGGTTTGGTCTCTTAATTTTGCTCTTAATCTAATGTATTTCTATCACTTCTCCACCTCCTGCTACTTTGAAAGATTAGAAGTGTGAAAATAGAGCACAGGTGGTTTTTCTCATGATGCAACCTTCCCACGTAGTGTGAGACCCCTTCAACCCACACTTGTGGGAGAAGACCCAGGGAGACATGAACTCACAGAAATGGAAGGCTCCTCGGTTATTGTAGAATGTGACTTCACACAAAGCTCACTGGTGGAATTAAGAGAAAACTGCCCTATAGGTTTATATTTTGTAATCTTTGAAAAAGTTGTTACCAGTGACAATGAAATTAAACGTGAAGTTAATTAGTGTAACATAAGAGTCTGATTATGTGATAACTTTCAGTGTTACAATATAATTCAGGTTTTTTTTCTAGTTCTCTCCCTGTCCCCTCCTACTATATTGGAAATGGTGGCTAATCCTGAAATTAAAACCTCACTCCAAAGGAATTAGAGTGGGGGAATATGTGAGAGAAACAGCATTTACGAGACTAGAGACCCAGTATAGACTGTAATTATTTCTATGTGAAATGGAATTTATTTTGATAAATTTTAAAATAAATCTTCCATGAAGAGGAAAATTACTTGAGACAAGATGTGTAATCTTTTACCCAGTTAGAGGGTAACAGCCACAGAATTCCCCAGGTCTCTTGTTTGCGAAGCGAGGATGTCATATTAGGCAGGAGATGTCAATATCTAAAATGGTGATGGATGTGTGATGGTAGCTTTTCTGGGTTGTTTTTTTTTTGGTTTGGTTTTTTAATTTAATTTTTGTTTTGTTTTTTTTTGCAGCCAGTTATTTTTATAGGTGCTGAGGCCCCTTTTCCTTTTGAGCACAGCTATTTAACCCTCAGGCCTGGCTCTGGAAACCGCCTCAGAACTGGCCTTGTGTTTCTTTCATTCATGGGTTAAGTGGGCCTTTCCCAAACTGACATTGGCCCAAAGTCTGCCTCAGTTGAGCTGGATTGGGACACGTCTGTATCAAAGGAGTGGTTCACACCTGATTTGCCCAGAGTCTTCAGGGGAGGTATGGTAAGATAGGATAATTAGGAATCGACAACAATGAAGTTAAAGGTAAGGGGGAAAGACCCTCATCTTGCAGGTCAACAAGCCTGTTCTTTTAATTCCCTCTGGCACTGGTCACTCTTAGGCAGCACATTGGGCTAGATGGACGATTGGTCTGACCCAGTATGACCAGGCTTCCATTCTTATGTTATATAAGCCATCTATGGCCTTGTGTACACTGGCAAGTTTCTGCACAGTAAAGCAGCTTTCTGCCATGTAACTTCTGAGGTCTACACACTGCCAAGTCACTTAGTGTGCAGAAACTGTGCAGTTGCAGCGCTATTTAAAAAAAACTCCACCCCGACGAGAGGCTTTCTGTGCCAGGGCTACAGCAGCGCGGTGCCAGTGTAGACACCCTGGTCGATTACAGCGTTGTGACTGGCCTCTAGGAGGTGTCCCACAATGCCTGTTCTCACCTCTCTGGTCATCAGTTTGAACTCTACTGCACTGCCCTCAGGTGACCAACAGTGAACACCACCCGTTAAATTCCTTGGGAATTTTGAAAGTCCCACTTGCCACAGAGACTGATTATGGTTACAGACCCATCCTGAAATTAGACCAGGATATTTTAAAGCTTTATCTCGTAGTAAAGTAACACAATTCAAACGTGTCATCACAGAGGAGAAAGCACTCCTTCATTTCATACTTATTACTACTGCTCTCACTGACAAATTTCCTTTTCTTGGTGCTGCTCCCAGTACTTTAGGGAGTTTTTCCTCTTCTCCCTTCCAGCTTTGGTTATGGGACTGCAGCAGCTCCCCAGATAGCCAGTTTTGCTCTTTCACTTACATCCTTCACTTTTGTGGATGAAGCTGTGTCTGTCACCAGTTTAATTCATATCTGAGACCTCAGGTACCAGCAGCTAGTTACAAAGACGAAATTCTCATTGCCATCAGTGGGAGGTTATCCTGGGCTGCCAGGGCTGTATGATTTGGCCCAGGATCGGTCAAGGTGCTACAGCAGCTACACTCTTACACGGTGAGTCCAGCAGCCTAATACCAAACTGTTCTGCCATAGTTTGCAGGGTGGCCTGGCTTGCTGAGAATCTGGCAGAAGAGAGACCTTGGAGTAGAGAAGGAAAATGTCCTCAGCAGTCACAGCTGGCAGGAGCAGGCAAGGTTGGGTTTGTTTTAAACTTCTCTCCCTGCTCAAGACTTTAATCATTCCTACAGCTCTTCTCTGAACCCTCTGTAATTTATCAGGGAAAACAACCAATGAACCAAACAAACAAACTAAACCAGGCTCTTTTGACTGATGTAACAATCTATTACCTTCCAAGGTTGAATATAAATCAGATCATTTTATTCACCCAAGAGTTCAACTTTAAGGGCTTTTTGTTTTCTAGTTCCAATCAAATCCTGTGCAACAGCATTATTGTTAACTCATCACTTGGTCACTTAACATTCACAGGTTCAAAAAGTTGGCAGGGCTAAGTCTTTCCTCCCACACCAACATGAAAAGAAATCAGTGACAGAAAATGCCCTAAAGCACCTCTGCTGCCTTGCACAACAGACTGGGGAAATACATGAGGGAAAGTGCTCTCCTCTCTCCTCCTGACACTGAGTAACATTTCTGTCTGTCCTTGAGATCCTGTCACAGGGACAAGGCTTAAGGATGCAAATGACATGTTAAGGCTTCATTGGTTTGTACATTCCTTTACTCCTTCATTAGTGATAAGGGTGCATGAGCTAGAAATAATCCAGCTCTGACTTTTACACTATAGGCTATTTCCAGGCTCGCAATAAAAAAAAATCTTTCTTTCTAATATGAGCAAATTGAATCTGGAGTTATTGCAAGATGATCAATACAGCGCCCCAGGATGCCTTTCTTTCATCAAATATATTTTTATCACATTAACTGGGTGCGTCTCCTGCTAGGAAGTGTCTGTCCAGTGGCAGCACCCAGTGTACATTCCCCATTTACGAACTCATCTTCAGTATATAAGCCACTGAACCTAGCAAGGGGAGGATCCCAGTAGCCAGGCTCCAGCCTGAGCAAGCCCCAGGACCCCAAGCCTGGCAAGCCCAAGTCAGCTGGACTGGGCCAGCTGTGGGTTTTTAATTGTATTGTAGACATACACTTGGTGTCAAAATCACAGCTTTCTCCTCAGGAAATCAAGCCCTAGTCCCCCACGTGACAGTTAGGGATAGTCACTGCTATACTCATGAGGTCAGAACTGACAACTGCCCCTGCACAGGGACCTAGGGGAAGAACTTGGCCAGCTCCTTGGACAGTTGTGGCTGGCAGGAGATCCAGCTAGGCAGGAGTTGCTCTGGGTTCTATGCAGGGGGAGATTAACTGGGAGAAGTGGGGACTTTGGGTATGTCTACACTACGGGATTACTCCGATTTTACGGAATTTGATTTTTGGCAACAGATCGTATAAAGTCGAGTGCATGCAGCCACATTAAGCACATTAATTCAGCGGTGTGCGTCCATAGTACTGAGGCTAGCGTCGACTTCTGGAGCGTTGCACTGTGGGTAGCTATCCCATAGTCTCCCCCACCTATTGGAATTCTGGGTTGAGATCCCAATGCCTGATGGGGCAAAAAACATTGTCACGGGTGGTTCTGAGTACATGTCATCAGGCCCCCCTCTCCCTCCCTCCGTGAAAGCAATGGCAGACAACCATTTCACGCCTTTTTTCCTGGGTTACCTGTGCAGACGCCATACCACAGCAAGCATGGAGCCCGCGCAGCTCAATGCAGTAGTCATGAACATTGTAAACACCTCGCACATTATCGTGCAGTTTATGCTGAACCAGAACCTGCAAAAACCAGGCGAGGAGGAGGCGGCGACGGCAGCGCGGTGACGAGTGATGAGGACATGGACACAGAATTCTCTCAAACGGCGGGCCCCAGTGCTTTGGAGATCATGGTGTTAATGGGGCAAGTTCATGCCGTAGAACGCCGATTCTGGGCCCGGGAAACAAGCACAGACTGGTGGGACCACATAGTGTTCCAGGTGTGGGACGATTCCCAGTGGCTGCGAAACTTTTGCATGCGTAAGGGCACTTTCATGGAACTTTGTGACTTGCTTTCCCCTGCCCTGAAGCACCAGAATACCAAGATGAGAGCAGCCCTCACAGTTGAGAAGCGAGTGGCGATAGCCCTGTGGAAGCTTGCAACGCCAGACAGCTACCGGTCAGTCAGGAATCAATTTGGAGTGGGCAAATCTACTGTGGGGGCTGCTGTGATGCAAGTAGCCAAAGCAATCACTGAGCTGCTGCTACCAAAGATAGTGACTCTGGGAAATGTGCAGGTCATAGTAGATGGCTTTGCTGCAATGGGATTCCCAAACTGTGGTGGGGCGATAGATGGAACCCATATCCCTATCTTGGCACCTGACCACCAGGGCAGCCAGTACATAAACTGCAAGGGGTACTTTTCAATGGTGCTGCAAGCACTGGTGGATCACAAGGGACGTTTCACCAACATCAACGTGGGATGGCCGGGAAGGGTTCATGACGCTCGTGTCTTCAGGAACACTAGTCTGTTTAAATGGCTGCAGCTAGGGATTTACTTCCCAGACTAGAAAATAACTGTTGGGGATGTTGACATGCCTGTAGTTATCCTTGGGGATCCAGCCTACCCCTTAATGCCATGGCTCATGAAGCCATACACAGGCAGCCTGGACAGTAGTCAGGAGCTGTTCAACTATAGGCTGAGCAAGTGCAGAATGGTGGTAGAATGTGCATTTGGACATTTAAAAGGCTTTTGGAGTACCTCCAGGAGAGCTTCATCGCCAGACACATTAACAGATTTTTCCAGTAGCTGTACTGGCCGCGAATGCATCCCAAGTCCTCAGGGTAAATTAATCATTAGAAAACACTTGCTTTTAAACCATGTTTTATATTTACAAAGGTACACTGACCAGAGGTCCCTTCTACGGCTTCATGGTCCGGGATACTGCCTTGGGAGGGTTGGGAGGCTATTTCAGTCAGGGTGAGAAAAAGATCCTGGCTGTTGGGGAGAACGGTGTGCTGTATGCTCTCCGCAAGCTCATCCTCCTTCTCCTCCCCGTCCGCAAAATCCTCAGGCATGGCTGAGATTACCCCCGCCTCGGAATCCACGGTCAGAGGTGGGGTAGTGGTGGCAGGCCCCCCCTAGAATTGCATGCAGCTCAGCATAGAAGCGGCATGTCTGCGGCTCTGCCCCGGACCGTCCGTTTGCTTCTTTGGTTTTCTGGTACGCTTGTCTGAGCTCCTTAAGTTTTATGCGGCACTGTAGTGAGTCCCTATTGTGGCCTCTCTATAACATGCCTGTGGAGATTTTTTTCAAGTGTTTTGGCATTTTGTCTTTTGGAACGTAGTTCTGCTTGCACAGAATCGTCTCCCCATACAGCGATCAGATCCAGTACCTCCAGTACGGTCCATGCTGGTGCTCTTTTTCGATTCTCGGACTGCATGGTCACCTGTGCTGATCAGCTCTCCACGCTGGGCAAACAGGAAATGAAATTCAAAAGTTCGCAGGGCTTTTCCTGTCTACCTGGCCAGTGCATCCGAGTTCAGATTGCTGTCCACAGCCGTCACAATGGTGCACTGTGGGATAGCTCCCGGAGGCGAATCCACACTAACCCTAATTCGAACCGGCAATGTCGATTTCAGCGCTACTCCCCTCATCGGGGAGGAGTACA